TCCGCCCTCGTCCCCGCCTTTGTTCTCGCCTTCATTCCCGCCCTCGCTCCCGCCCTCATTCTCGCCTTCGTTCTCGCCCGTCGCCCTCGCCCTCGTTCCCGCCCTCATTTCCGCCCACGTCTCCGCCGTCTTTCTCGCGATCGTTCCTGCCCTTGCGTCTTGTCCCCGCCTTCGTTCTGGCCCTCGCTCCCGCCCTCGTCCCTTCCCTTTTCGCTCCCTCTCTGGGCTCTCTTGTTCGGTCCTCCGACCTCGTTCCCGCCCTCGCGCCCGCTCTCGCTCCCGCCATCCTTTCCCTTTTCCTCCTCCGCCTCATTCTCGGCCCCTCTGATCTGCGTCTTTTCCCCCCTCCTCGGTGCCGCCCTTCCAAATCTCTTCGCTCGCCGCCCCTCTCCTCCTCCCCCTCCTCCTCCGGCCCCCTCCTCCTCTCCCTTCCTCCTCCTCCTCCTCCTCCTCCTCCTCCTCCTCCTCCTCCTCCTCCTCCCTCTCCCCCCCCCCCGCGCCTCTCCCCCGCCCCGCTTGGGTTTCAGAGCCCCCGCTTGCTTTCGCGGGGCGTCGTCGCCGCAGGAAGGCGCGCGCCGCCGACGGGCGCCCTGTCCATCCTGGGCCCTCATCTCCGGCCCGAGGCCGAAGAAGGAGTAAGAAGAAGAGGAGGAGGAGGGGGGGGAGGAGGAGGGGAAGGAGGACGGGGAGGAGGCGGAGGAGGAGGAGGAGGAGGAGGACAATGACGATGATGATGATGATGAGGAGGAGGAGGAGGAGGAGGTGGAGGAGGAGGAGGAGGAGAAGGATAAGGAGGAGGATGGGGTCGGCGGGAGCCCCCCCCGTCTAGAAGGCCCAAGAGTTCGCGCAGCATCGCGCGGTGGGCCCCCTGGAGGAGCGCCCAAAACAATTCAGAACAAAAAGCCCAAGAAGCTTAGAATATCGCTCCGAACCGCCCCGGCGGCCACCGCGAACAACTGGTCGGCCCCCAAGGCGGGGCCAGAGGAAACATTTCAAAGGGGCCCAAGGGCCCTCCTCCCAAAGATGAGCCCCGAGACTGAGAGCAATCGCCCAGGCGCCCTTCAAAAGGCCGCCGACAGCCGGAAAACCTCCGGGCAACCCCCGAAACAAAATGATGATGCCCACGAAGAGCACCCGTAACAAAAAAACAAGGAGCCTCATATTTATCAGTCTGTGTGTGTATATATATATATATATATATATATATATATAACGCGGCGGGATTGGCTTGGAGCCCAAAGGATCGTCCGTCGCCCCAGGGGCTCGCGGAGATTCCGCCCGCGCGGCGCTTCCAAGACGCGCGCGCGCACTTCGCGCTCAAATGCCCAGATTGCCCAAGATGGCCTCCCAAACGGCCGCGGCCCCCCGCGAGGGCCCAAAATTTCGTTTCGAACGCGCGCGCAGGGGCCTCGAGCAGCGCCGGTGCTGTTTCAGAACTACCCAATCCGACAAAAACATAGAATGTGCCCAATAATCCCGATGGGCAGCGCCACGTGCGTTCCTTATGTCATTTGGCGGTTTTCACGCCCTCGCCCGCTCCATCGCCCCGAGACGGCCAGCGAGGGCTTCCAAACAACTCAGGATTGCCCTGATACTCTTCCGAAACAGCACCGAGGCTGTCGACCGCCGGACGGGCCCCGCAGATGGCCCAGGAAAGCCGCCCAAGGGCCCCGGGGAAGCGCCGAGGCCTTTCCGAGACCGCTGCCCAGATGCGCCCACCCAAACAGCCTTCCAATGCGCCGGGTGGCCTGACAGCACCATCGCGCCAGACGGCTCAAAACAATCCCGGCGCGACCCCAAAGATCGCCGAAGGTTCCCTTGAAGGCCCGCCGAAGGCCCCTCCGCGTTCCCCCGGCGGCGCCCACGCCGGCATGGGGGCGACCCCCAAGCCGCAGCTCCTACCCCGCTTAAATCCCGCCCGGCCCCTTCACACCCCGCCGGAGCTTTGAAAATATCCCGTGGCTTCGCGCCGCCTCCGACGCCGATGAAGAACCCCCCCCGCCCCTCCCCGCGCCTCCGAGCCGGCGCGGGGCAATGCGGCGATTCTCGGTTTCCGGCCGTTCTACGCCACGAAGCAAGAACCACCGCTGACCCGATCACGCGCGACCCCCCGCCAAAGGCGCAAAAACGGATGGGGGGGTGGGGGGCGTGTCTGAGCGAGCGAATGTGCCCGACGACTGCCGGGCAAAACCAACCCGCTTACAACGCGAGCCGATTTTGACGCGTGTTCGCCCCCCGTCAGTGCTGATCGGGAAAATCGCCCCCGGACGCGCCCGAACGGGGCCCCCGCTGTGGTCCAAAATGCTCCGACGCCGTCCGCGCCCCTCCAAGGCCCGCCGCTTCCTGCGGAACACTTTTCCGAGCGCTCGGGCGCGGCCCCGACGCTCTGGCACCTTCCTGCAACTTTTTGAAAAGCTCCCAGGCCATCCCATGCACCCCGAAGCCCTGCTAGGCTTTCGACATTCCTCTTGACCTCTGAGCAATCCTTCCCAGCTCGCCCTGTTCCCCCCGACCTCGCCGAGCGCCTTCCCGGGCCGCCTCCGCCCTCGAAAACCCTCCGAGCCCCTCCCAGGCCCTGTCCATTTCCCGAAGCCTTTCAGAAACCGCCCAGGGCACTTCCGCGCCCCCGAGCCCTCCGAAAAGCGCGGCGCTTCTCCTCTGCGCCGCCCGCCCCCGACTTGTGCCGGGCGGGCGGCGGGGGTTGGGGCGGTCACCGCGCCGTGCGTCCTTTCGCGGCGCGGCAGCCGGCAGCCCCGCGGGGCGAGCCTCGGGCGGGTTTTTTTTTGCCCCAGCCGCAGTTGAGCAATTTTGGGCAGGGCCGCGCAGGCGGGGGGCGCTGCCCCGTGCTCCCCGCGCAGGCCTTAGCTGTAGCGTTGCCGTAGGGCGGCGTGCGCAGGCGAAGCTCGCAGTATTTGGCAGCTGGCGGCTGGGCCCCCAGCGCGCAGGGCCGACCCGGCAGCGTTCTGGGCCGACGCCGCGACATTGGTTTCGGCGCGCCCAATCCAAATTATAATCGTACTTTAAGTAGAGTTCCCAGTCATACCGAAATCAGATGTGGGTCTCAGGGCCAGCGTTAAATCGGAGTTCCAGTCAGCCCTAGATCAGACTTGGGTCTTAGGGCCAGAGTTAAATCGGAGTTCCCGTCAGACCTAAATCAGAGTCGGCGCTGAGGGCCAGACTTGAATCAGAGTTCCGCCGCAGACATGAATCAGACCTTCATCAGAGTTATGGGCCTGAACAGAGAAACGGAGTTTGCCCCCGAAGGACACATTCAACGCTATGCGAGCCCTGCCGTTGGGGCCTTCGGTGGAGCTCCCTATGGGGCCACGATCCTCGTGATGAGGTGTGCCGAAAGGCTCGAGGCCGCCATGCGAGCCCTGCCACTGGCGCCTTCGGTGGAACTTCTACGAGGCCACGATGTTCGTCAGAGGTGTGCCGTAATGGCCCGAGGCCGCCATGCGAACCTTGCCACTGGCGCTTTCGGTGGGGCTCCCTGTGGGGCCACGATCGTCGTGAGGGGTGTGGCGAAATCGCCCGAGGCTGCCACGCGAACCCTGCCACTGGGGCCTTCGGTGGAGCTCCCTATGCGGCCACGATCCTCGTGAGGGGTGTGCCGAAATCGCCCGAGGCCGCCATGCGAGTTCCACCACTGGGACCTTAGGTAGAGCTCCCTATGGGGCCACAAAACGTGTGAAGCGTGTGCCGAAATGGCCCGAGGCCGCCGTGCGAGTTCCGCCGCTGGGACCATAGGTGGAACTCCCTGCGGGGCCAAGATGCGTGTGAAGGGTGTGCCCGTGGCCCGAAGCCGCCATGCGAGTTCCGCCACTGGGACCTTAGGTGGAGCTCCCTATGGCGCCGCGAAGCGTGTGAAGCGGTTGCCGAAATGGCCCGAGGCCGCCATGCGAGTTCCGCCACTGGGACCTTAGGTGGAGCTCCCTATGGGGCCACGATCCTCGTGATGGGTGTGCCGAAATGGCCCGAGGCCGCCATGCGAGTTCTGCCACTGGGACCTTACGTGGAGCTCTCTATGTGGCAACGATCATCGTGATGGGGTGTGCCGTAATGGCCCGAGGCCGCGAGTTCCGCCACTGGGGCGTTGGGTGGGGTTCCCTATGGGGCCGCGAAGCGTGTGAGGGGTGTGCCGAAATGGCCCGAGGCCGCCATGCGAGTTCCGCCACTGGGGCCTAGGGTGGAGCTCCCTATGGGGCCACGAAGCGTGTGAGGTGTGTGCCGAAATCGCCCGAGACCGCCATGCGAGTTCCGCCACTGGGACCTTAGGTGGAGCTCCGTATGGGGCCACGAGACCTGCGGAGGGCAGAGGCAAGGAGGGGGAGGAGGATAAGGAGGAGGAGGAGGAGGAGGAAGAGGAGGAGAAGGAACGCGGGGCAGCGTCTCTTCAAAACGGGGACCCAACACCACAGGATGGTTTGGAAAAAGCGCTGTGGATGGATCATTTCAGCAGCGGCGGGTTTCGTCATTTTCGGTTTCTCAGTGTCGTTTTCGGGTCCATCAAAAACGGTTCCGGGACGGACGCTTTCCCCTTGGGGGGGCAGGGGTCGATACTTCCGGGGCCCGCGGATTAAACGCATGACATCGTCGGATGTCACAGGTCGGTGTTGTGCCCAGCCCTCCTTCTTCCCAGACATCGACTCTGACGTCGCCACCACGTCTGCATCCTGCACCCTGCATCCACTTTCTGCGCCTCTTCATTCTACTCCGCCACGTCCCTTCTCCCTTCTGCTCTGGCTCAGCCCCCTGCTCTTTCTCGTTGCTGTCATCGTCGTCCTCCTCCGCTGGACTTCTCCATGTCCCCCTTGAAATCTCTGATCTCTGATAACGCCCGAGAGCCAGTCAAGACTTAGAAACCTTTGCAATTATCCTCCTGCTCGCCGTCCGTCCTCCTCCTCTTCCTCCGCCCCTCCTCCCTCCTCCCCCTCAGCCCTGCCGACCCGATCCGTTCAAAGTGGTCGTGGAGATTCGATCAGGGGGGTCGCACCAAGGAAAGCGCCGTGTGGTACAAGCTCGGCAAGGCCCCGCCACGACCCGCTCGCGGAGAGGACGAGGATGAGGAGGCTGGAAGAGGCTGGAATCGAAGGCTGGAACATGAGTAGGATGATGATGATGGAATGATGGTGCTGAGGATGTTGCTGCTGCTGATGATGATGACGATGGCGGTGATGACGACGGCGATGATGATGTTGCTGATGATGATGCTTACGATGGTGATGATAGATGGCGGTGATGATGATGCTGCTGATGATGGTGCTGAGGATGATGATGATGCTGATGATGATGGTGATGCTAATGGGTGACGATGGTGATGATGCTGATGATTTTGAGGAGGCTGACGACGATGCAAACGATGATACTGGAGCTGGTGATGGTGATGATGAGGATGACGATCATGGGCATGATCATGATGATCATGATGATGGTGGCGTGATGGTGATGATCGTTGCCATGATCGTGATGATGACACTGGTGGTGGTGATGGTTACGATGCTGCTGCTGATGGTGATGATGACGATTGTGATGATGATGACTGCGATGCCGATGCACATGCCGATGCCGATGCTTACGATTACTGAATGATTATGGTCATGATGATGCTGATGAAGATGCTCATATTGAGGATGCTGATGACGCTGCTGACAATGATGATGCTGCTGATGATGCTGATGCTGACAATGATGATGATGCTGCTGATGCTGATGCTGATGCTGATGCTGATGCTGATGCTGCTGCTGATGGCGATTTATGATTATGCTGATGCTGTTGATGCTGCTGTTGATGCTGATGCCGATGCTGCTGCTGATGATGCTGATTATGATTAGGATACTGCGAATAATGCTTCTGCCAGTGATGCTGCTGACGATGGAGGTGATGATGCTGCTGATGTAGATAATGACGATGCTGATGCCCGCAATGCTGATGATGCTGATGATGCTAATGATGATGCTGTTGATGGTGATGGTGATGCTGATGGTGATAATGATGATGGTGATGCTGATGATGACGATGCAAATGACGATGCTGCTGGTGGTGATGGTTATGATGATGTCGATGCTGATTATTATTATGGTGATGGTGATGGTGATGGCGATAGTGATGATGATGACGACTATGGTGACGATGATGATGATGATGATGATGATGATGATGGTGATGATGATGTTGATGTTGATGATTCGGATGATATGATGATCATCATGACTATGAGGATGACGATGATGATGGTGATGATGATGCTTACGATGATGCTGATGATGCTGATGATGATAACGAGGAGGAGGAGGAGGAGGAGGAGGAGGATTAGGAGGAGGTGAAGCCTGAATGAGGAGGGGGCGTGGGAGGAGGTGGACGGGGGGCTGAGGTGGAGGGAGAGGGAAGGAGGACACAGGAATGAGGACGAGAACGATTGGGGAGGACGACGAGGAGAGGAACGGGGGAGGAGGAGAGATAGGAGGAGCGAGGAGGAGGGGGGGGGGAGGCAGGTCGAGGATGAAGAGGATCAGAATGCAGATTGCCAAGCTTGCTATAAGCTTACAGGTTCGAAGTAGTACCTAAGCACATCCTCGGAGATGATGTGACCATCAGAGAAATACTGGAGACCGCGGCAGCTTGCACGATAGAACCATAATCCATTAGCCGTCTGTTAGTGGCGCATCCTGAAAGCCGTAGGAATGACAGATGCCACTGGCAGAATAATAAGTATTAGGGGGAGAGTGTGGGGCTTTCGCGGGCGACCTTGTCAAACCAGCATGCGCAGCTTTAGCAAGAGTTTCCCCTGCTCCCAGCTCCTTGCAGTCCCGTCGCCGCCAAATTCTTAATGCGTCTGCCGCGTGCAGCAGGCCGAGGGGCCAACCCGTCTGGTTCGTTTCAGTTTCTGTCTTGGCCATGCCGCTGCATATCCTGTTTGTATAGGCGGCCTCCTGGTCTAAGTGTTGAAGGTCGCTGAAGGAAGGAGGACGATGATGATGGATGAACAAGGGCGGGAGACGCAGGCTGATGAGGGGGAGGAGGAGAAGGAGAAGGACATGTTTTACTCATGATGAGGAGGAGGTGGAGGAGGAGGAGAAAGAGAATGATGAAGAGGGCGAGGAGAAGGAGGAGGAGGAGGGGAATAGGGGAGTGGCAGATGAAGGAGAGGAAAGATATTGATGAGGGCGAGGGTGTTGTTGATGTTGTTGATGTTGATGATGATGATGGTGATGTTGGTGAAAATGATGATGATGACGATGATGATGATGATGATGATGATGATGATGATGATGACGATGATGATGATGATGATGATGAAGATGGTTATTATGCTGATGCTCATGCTTACGACGATCATGATGGTGTTCATGATGATGCTGACGATGTTTTCTGATTCCTTATTTTCGTCGGTGCATGTCTGGTTGTGGTTGTGCTGTTTCTTGTCTCAGCTCTCTCCTTTTCCCTCCGCTAGCCAGGCAGGGAACAATCAGTGAATGCACCTTTCAGAAAAACGGTCAGCGTTTGCAGTGAGTTTTGGCAAGCATGGCGTGCGTACGACACAGACGGAATGTCGTTTCATTCTCAGCCTTTCCCATTCCGCCCTTGTTCCGCAATGCTCATGGTACTGCTGGGTATCATTCCGCAATGTTCCAACGAGGAGGAGGGAGGAGGGAGGGAGGGAGGGAGGGAGGGAGGGAGGGAGGACGAGGAGGAGGAGGAGGAGGAGGAGGAGGAGGAGGAGGAGGAGGAGAGGAGGAGGAGGAGGAGGAGGAGGAGGAGAAGAAGAAGGAGGAGGAGGGGGGCAGATTGGGAGCCTTCCCCCCGCGGCTCCGGTGGCCGGCGTCAGGCGCAACTGGACAGCAACCAGGTGCCAGAGGCGATCGAGTCCTACTTGAAGGCCGAGGAGTATACCGCGCGCGGTGCGGGCAACTGCAGTGGGCTATGAGCGGAGCCCTTCGCTCGCCAGCCAGGGAGGAGGACATGGAAGATGTCAGAGGATGATGATGATGGTGATGATGGTGATGGTGATGGTGGTGATGATGGTGGTGATGATGATGGTGATGATGGTGATGATGGTGATGGTGATGGTGATGGTGGTGATGATGAGGAGGAGGAGGACGAAGATCAGGATGAGGAGGATGAAGAAGGAGAAATGGTTGATGATGGTGAAGTAGTGACGGTGACGACGATTACGGTGACGTTGATGGGGATGATGACGGTGATGATGATGGTGATTGTGATAGTGATGATTGTGCTCTTGATGATGGTGAGAGTGATGATGCTGCTGCTGAAGATGATGGTAATGATGGCGATTATGATGACGAGGATGATGCTGATGTTGCAGATGATGACGACGATAATGATGATGATGGTCAGGATGCTGGTGATGATTATGTTACCGTTGATGCTTCTTTGCAAATGGGAATGCTCATAAGCAGGCGGATACAGATGATCACGACGATGATCATGATGAAGATACTGATGATGATGCTTCTGATGATGCTGATGATGATGATAATGATGATGCATAGGATGATGCTGATGATGATGATGATGATGATGATGGCGATGATGAGGATGATAGTGATTGCGATGATGAGGACGATGTTGAGGATTCTGATGATGCTGCTGATGCTTATGATGCTTCTGATGATGAGGATGCTAATGCTTACGATGGTTGCAAGCATGATGATGCTGACGACGATGTTGATGGTGTTGATGGTGGGGATGCTACCAATGACGGTGATTGTGGTTTCGCTGAGGACGACGATGCTGACGATGGGGATGATAATGATGGTGATGATGATGGTGATAGAATTGATGATGCTGACGATGCTGATTACGATTATGAGGACTATTCTGGTGCAGCTGTTGCTGGTGATGGTACTGATGATGACGAGTACGATGGGGCGGATGATGAGGATGATGTGGGTGATGATGGTGTTGACGACGACGTTGATGAAAATGATGATGATTATGATGATGATGATGATGATGATGGTGATGATGATGATGCTGATTGTGGTGATGATGATGGTGGTGATGATGGTCATGATGGCGATGCTGTTGATCATGACGATGTTGACGATGTCGGCGACGATGATCATCATGATGATCATGATGATTACGATACTGATGATGCTGATGATGAGGACGGTTATACGGATGATGATGCTGATGAAGCCAATGATGGATGTTGATGGTGGTGATGCTGATGATGATTGTACTGCTGTTGCAGGTGCTGATGATGTTGATGATGCTGGTGACGCTGAGCATGATGCTGACACTGCTGCGGATGATGACGATCTTGGTAGTGGTGATGCTGCTGGTGACGATGACGATGACGATGACTACGATGATGATGTTGATGATGCCCATGATGATGATGCTGATGATGATGATGATGATGATGATGACGACGACGATGACGATGACGAAGGCGATGACGATGATGATGATGATGATGATGATGATGATGATGATGTTGACGATATTGATGATGATGATGATGATCATGACGATGTTGATGATGATGAACTTGATGATGATTCTGATGATGATGCTGATGATGACGATGACGGTGATAATGATGAGGGTGATGGTGATGATGATCATGATGGTGATGATGATTATGATGCTTGTGATGATGATGATGATGTTGATGCTGTTGATGATGATGACGACGACGCTGCTGACGATGGTGATGATGATGCTGATGCTGACGATGGTGATAAGGCTGATGCTGATGCTGCTGTTGATGATGCTGATGATGACGTTGATGAAGATGCTGCTGAGGATGTTGATGACGAGGATCATGATGCTGATGATGATGCTGATCATGATGATGATGCTGATGATGATGATGATGATGATGATGCTGATGATGATGATGATGCTGATGCTGATGCTGATGCTGATGCTGATGCTGATGCTGATGCTGACGGTGATGTTGATGGTGCCGGCGACGTTGATGACATTGATGTTGATGACCTTGATGAGTATCACGGTGACGCTGATGCTGGTGACAATGAGTGTGATGATGACCAGGATGCGGATGCTGAGGATGATGATATATGGGACGATATTACTACCGTCAAATTCCGCTGCAGGTCATAGCAAGCCATCGTCGAGGGGTGCACCGAACTACAGTATGATCACATTGGGCAAGTCAAGAGGAGGAGGAGGAGGAGGAGGAGGAGGAGGAGGAGGAGGAGGAGGAGATGTAGGATGGGTTGGAGGAAGGAGAGGATGGGGAGGAGGAGGAGGACAAGAAGGAGGACACGGACCGAGGAGGAGGAGGAGGAGGAGGCGGATGAGGAGGAGGATGAGGATGAGGAGGAGGGGGATGAGGAGGAGGATAAGAAGGAACAGGAGGAGGGCGGCTCGGCGTCTGCGTCGGGTGGGTGGGGTGCGGGGCTTGAAGGGTGAGCAGAAATGCCCGCCGTCCACATACGAGGTCATGTTCACGGTTTTTGGACGTCGTTATTCCGCTTGAAGATGCTTGTTGAGCTTGGATGATGCCGCCCTGCATCCGTGAACCGGGTGGGGGCTTCTTCGGGCGGGTGTGCGCAGCGCTAAGCGAGATCCGCATTTTTGAATAGCGACCGCCCTCCCCCGTCCGTGCACGTGTTTGGGAGCTCAGACGAATGTGCGCGGCCCTTCGGCGAGAGCCTCACTTCGAAAAGGGGGCGCCCCCATACCTCGGACATCGTACGCTTTAGTAGTTCGAGCCGTCTCAGACGAAACGCCCAGGCCGCCCTGCCAGGGCGTCTGGTGTTGCGACGGTCAGGGGCCATGAAGAACAACAGAGTGATGAAGGATGCCCAAGAGTAGGAGGAGGGGCAGGATTCTATAGGATTCTACACGCCAAGCCTCCAGATAGTCGACACACGAACAACGGCGGCGATGAAAAAGACCGCCCCTACCCCCAAGCCTATTCTGCGCGACCAGGTTTGATCTCCAAAGTTGTATCTGATGACGCGAGGTCCCAACTCTTCGAAACCCTGCTGTGCACGGTTGTTCCCCTTGCCGTTTCGCGCACGGGTGAGTCCCGCTGTCTGCTTTCGCGCACGAGCTGATCCCAGCGTTGTGACTAATAATATTTGCTGCTGTGCAAGCCATCATCTCGCATTGCCATCGCCTGCTGCCAGTGCGTTCTTACACGAACGAGCTGCCCCTGGCTGTGTAGCTGACGATCTCTGGCTCCTGCACCTGCCTTGCGTTGACAGCGCTTGCCGTCACTGCACGCCCTTTCACAAAGATAGCGCCTGCTGTCACTGCGTTGTTTCTTGCACGAGCTGATCCCAGCTTTGTAGCTGATCATGTTTGCTCGTGCACTTGCCTTCTGCTCGCGGTGCCAACGCCCGCTGCCACCGTTTCCCCTTCTCGCAGTTAGCCAGCTCCTGCGGTCACTGTCTGCATTCGCGCACGAGCTGATGCCAGCGTTGCAGCTGATGATGTTCGCTCCTGAACTGTTCTTCTGGCAGTGCCCAAGTCTGCTGCCACGTCTTGCCCTTCTTGCACCGCCAGCCCCTGCTGCCACTGCAAGCCTGTGCGCACGAGCTCACCCCAGCGATGTAACTGATGATGTTTGGCTCCTGCGCCCGTCTTGCATGGAGGCCACCTACTGTCACTGCACGGCATTATCGCATTGCCACCGCCTGCCGCCTTTCTGGGCCTTCATGCACGAGCTGACCCTAGCAGTACAGCTGATGATTTTTGGCTCCCGCACCTGCTTTTGTGCGCTGACAGCGACTGCCGCCACTGCTGCCACTGCCTGTCTTCGCGCACGAGCTGATGCCAGCCTTGTAACTGATGATGTCCTGAACTTGCCTTCTGCTCGCAAGGCCAGCGCATGCTGACACTACTTGCCCTTCGCGCCTTGACGAAGCCTGCTGCCACAGCCTGCAATCTCGCTCTCGCTGCTCGCTCGGTCTGGCGTCTCCCGCACGAACTGGTCCCATCATTGTATCTGATGACGTTGGCTCGCGCGTTCTCGACGTACCCACGCGAACTGGCCCCAGCTCTGTAGCTGGTGACGTTGGCCCGCGCGGGCTCGCCTTCATAGCAAGGTCGTCGCCCAACGATGTAGCTGATGATGCCGGCCCGATCTTTGCTTCTCGTATTGATAACTTTGGCTGCCATTTCTTGCCCACCTCGCATGGGCAGTGCCTGCTGCCACTGCCTGCTTTTGCGCACGAGCTGACACCAGACATGGACCTGACCGCAGTGTTGTAGCTCATGCTGTCAGGATCCTGCACCTGTGTAGCCACAATGATAGAGGATGCTGCCACTGCTCGTCCTTTCTCGCACCGGCAAAATCGACTGCCACTGCGTTGTTTCTCCCACGAGCTGACCCTCGCGTTGTGGCTGATGATGCCGCTCCACGCCTGCACTCTTGCAGCAGCGCCGCGGTGGCTAGCACTGCTGCTCGCCAGGATGCCCAGGGGGGCAGGGGGGAGGAGGAAAGGACGAGGACGGGGAGGCGAGGGAAATGACTCCTGGCGGCCGCGTGCGCGCCAGACCTCAGCACGGCAGCTGATGGTGTTGGTCACCAAGCCTCTTGATAGTTGCCTCTGTGAGCGTGGCGACTCTGAAGCCGGCGCGCAGATCTCCCTCGCGTACCCCGTGCAAGGTCGGCCGCTTGAGCGCGAAATGGCTGAGGAGGAGCAGGGCGGGGCCCAGGAGGAGGAGGAGGAGGAGGAGGAGAAGGAGGAGGAGAAGGAAGAGGAGGATAAGGATAAGGAGAGGAGGACAAGGAGGACCAGGAGCAGGAGAAGGAGGAGGAGGAGGAGGCGGAGGAGGAGGAGGAAGCACGTCGGGACGAGTGCCAGGAGGAAGAGCGCAGGGGAGGAGGGCCAGGAGGCCTCTTGGCCAGGACGCCACCGACTACGCGGAGGTCATCCAGGCCGCCACGCGGGAGGAGAACTTCGAGGAGCTGGTGCGCTACCTGGTCATGGCCCGCGCCAAGCACAAGGACCGCGCCCCGCCCGCGCCCCTGGCCCTCGGCGGAACGGCCGTCGGCGGCACAGGGTGCGCCTCGGCTCTGCTATCCTTCTGTCGGGCGTGTCCCCCTACAGGGGGATTTTCGACGAAACATAAAAACATACCCCCAAAATGCCACAAAAAGGTCAAAAGATACCCCCAAAGTAGTCCCCAGGCTATGTTTGGGCTAGTTTTTGACTACGTCTGGGGTATGTCTTATTTTTCGTCGCAATGCCCCCTGTAGGGGGACAGGCCCGACTTCATGCTATCCTCTCGCCCAGGAGCGAGAGAGGGAGGGGGGAGGGGGACGGTCAGCTCGAAGGAGATCCAGTTCTCCCACGGTCTGTTGCTGGCTGCAGGCGACCGCGCGACGACCTCGAGGTGTGCAGCGGCTTCGGCCCTGGGGCCCGTCGTCCGGTCCCAGGACCCTCGGACATGGATCCGGGGCGATCCCGTACCCCTGGGAGCGGGTCGGGACCTCGAGGGCCGCGCGTTGCAGTCACATCGTCGGATGTCTGGGAGCGTGCCCGGGAGGTGAGGGACCCTGGATTTTCTGCTCGCCGTTCTCGGGCCCCTCGGGGGAGCCCTCCGCCGGCTCCGGGGCCGTCAGGGAGCGGCCCGGGACGAAGGCGTGGTCCCAGGGAGAGCCCCGGGGTCTGCGACCCGTTTCCGTCAGGACCCCTTTCGGGGGCCCCCAAACGGGGTGGTGACTAAACCGTGTGGTGAGTCGGTGGGGGTTCGGGGTCACTGCACGTTTTTGGGGGGATTTGGGTCGTGCTCCGAGGATGTCTCGGGCGACTCGAGCCCCCAGGGTCCCCAAACCGTGGCGTGGGGACCCCCACCTTGCCTTCACGGCGAGGGCGCGCCCAGGCTTCCTGGCGCCCCGAACCAGGCCGCACGGCGGCTTTTCCTGCCGAGCCCCGGGGCGGCGCGAGGAGGCGGAGGCGGGCGACGCAGGAGCGGCCCCGCGGAGGGCGTCGAGGCGTGGCCCCAGAACTGCTGAACGGTCTCCGTGCTCGATGCCGTTCGCGTCCACACTGTGGGGACGTCTCGGGCCAAGCACTTCTCGTGCCTCCTCCGAGCCCTGTCCTCTCAGCGACCAGTGATCGCCGACGTGTGGCCCCCAAGTGGGGCCGCCGGGGGTACCACACGGGCCCGTCGGTGCCCAAGGGTCCCAGCCCGGCGCCAAGGCCGCGCGAACGGCGGCCCACCCGGCGCTGAGCCAGGCCCGGCAGTGCCCCCCACCCTTGGTGCAGCTGCGCGGCCGTGGCTCGGCGCTCGGCGTCCGTCCTGCGCAATGCGGGGCAGGAGTAGCTTAGGATATCTGACGAGAAGGCGGCGACGTGACATGGACGCATATACTTCGGCGAGCGGCATTCGCAAGGTTCGCAGGTCCAAAATCATGGGAAACACGATGAGTAACTAAGTGAACCCCCGAGTCGCTTAAGAAGACGCAAGGTCCAAAAGGGGACAGTGGGCAAGGGGCTTGAAACGTCGGCGGGGCAGCAACAACATGACATGGCCCCCCAGGGATGGCGAGGTCCCGCTCAGGCCGGCGCAATGCCTCGCTCCGCTGGACCCACCAGCAGCCTTCGAAAGTGGCGAGCCCACCAGCAGCCCTAGAAAAAAAGGGCGACGGTTTCGCAGATCGCTGCCCCCCAGGGACGGCGAGGTCTCGCTCAGGCTGCGTGGTGCCTCACTCCGCTGGACCCACCAGCAGCCCTCGAAAGTGGCGACGGTTTCGCAGATCGCAGCCCCCCAGAGACGGGGAGGTCTCGCTCAGGTCTGCGTGGTGCCTCACTCCGCTGGACCCACCAGAAGCCCTCGAAAGTGGCGACGGTTTCGCAGATCGCAGCCCCCCAGAGACGGGGAGGTCTCGCTCAGATCCGCGCGGTGCCTCACTCCGCTGGGTCCAACAGCAGCCCTCGAAAAAAAACATGTTTGCAGATCGCAGCCCCCCAGGGACGGGGAGGTCTCGCTCAGATCCCAGCGGTGCCCCACTCCGTTGGACCCACGAGCAGCCCTCGAAAGTGGCGACGGTTTCGCAGATCGCAGCCCCCCACGGACAGGGGGGTCTCGCTCAGATCCGCGCGGTGCCTCACTCCGCTGGACCCACCAGCAGCCTTCGAAAGTGGCGACGGTTTCGCAGATCGCAGCCCCCCAGGGACGGGGAGGTCTCGCTCAGATCCGCGCGGTGCCTCACTCCGCTGGACCCACCAGCAGCCCTCGAAAGTGGCGACGGTTTTGCAGATCGCAGCCCCCCAGGGACGGGGAGGTCTCGCTCAGATCCGCGCGGTGCCTCACTCCGCTGGACCCACCAGCAGCCCTCGAAAGTGGCGACGGTTTCGCAGATCGCAGCCCCCCGGTGACGGGGAGGTCTCGCTCAGATCCGCGCGGTGCCTCACTCCGCGGGACCCACCAGAAGCCCTCGAAAGTGGCGACGGTTTCGCAGATCGCAGCCCCCCAGAGACGGGGAGGTCTCGCTCAGATCCGCGCGGTTCCTCACTCCGCTGGACCCACCAGCAGCCTTCGAAAGTGGCGACGGTTTTGCAGATCGCAGCCCCCCAGGCAAAGCAAGAGGAGACAAGAAGGAGGGGGGGCGGGAGGCGGGAGGCGGGATGAGGGAGACGCGACCGCGGTGCTCTTTTCAAAACGAATGCCCAACCAAGGAGGGCTGGGACATATCATAACTCACGTCTATCTTCAGTGCTGGGGTCACCTGTCATCCAGGGGAAGGATACCTGTAGTCTGGGGTACCTGTAATCCGCGGGGGGGCTACTATTCTGGAGAAGGGCCATCTGTAGTCTTGGCGGGAGATGCTTGCGCGAGGGGGGGTTGTCGCAGAGGCGCGGGCGACTTGGGGGGGGAGGGGGGGGCACCTGGAATCTAGGGCGGGGGGGGGGGTCAGTATTTTGTTATTGGGGGGAGACTGTAGTCCGGGGGGCGGGGTACCTGTAGTCTGGGGAGGGGTACCTGTAGTCTGGGGACCCAAATCAATCGGGTGACCCAGATAGCTGTGGCGGGAGGAGGGGAGGAGGACGAGGGACGAGGAAACTGAGGATGGTGAGGAGGAGGAATGGAAGGAAGAGGAGACGGAGCTCGATGACGAAGAGTGGAAGTAACAAGAGCAGCATGACCAGGAAACTATGACAATTGAGGAGTAAACCCTAGCGGCGTGATGCATTGAGGAGCAGGGGAATGGGCAGGATGCGGAGGGGGAGCAGGAGTGCGGATCAGGGTAGAGAACAGTGGGGACAGAGAAGAAGGATAGGGGAGGAGTATAAGGAACGGAACGATCGGTGAAAACAGGGACATCAGGAGCCCCCCTCGAAAGGACGTGCTCATCGATACAGAGCTGGTCTACGCTTACGCCAAGACCGATCGCCTCGCCGACATGGAGGACATCGCCACCCGCTTGTCCTCTCGCGTGCTGTAGGCGAGCCTTGAAGGGCTCGATGTATGCGGTTTGTGCCCACACCTTGCGCACACGTGGGGGTGTTTGGGATGAAGGTCCACAGTCAACATCCCTAGCGCTGTTTGACCAAGGCTAATTACCCTTGCATCCCTGCTTCTTCGGCCTCCACTGAGTCAAGGGCGACACCCAACGAGCTCTATATGGACAATGGGACGTCCAATGGTCTTGCATCCTTACCTTGCGTAATTACTTGCTACAGGTTTTGACTGTAGGGCTCCGTTGGCCAGTCGGCAGGGCGAACCCACGACGCGTTCCCGAGCCACGAGTGCGGCGAAGTGTTGAACGAGTGTGGAACCTGTGGATCGCGAGTGGCATGCAGGAGGAACGAGAAGAGGGGCAGCTCTCGTGACGGCAGGGCTCAATGCAAGGCGCGCGTCCGCAGACGACCGCCCCGAGTGCCGTGGCTGCCCGATCGTGAAGGCGTGTCTAGAGACTACGTGTCTGTGCAATATATACTTGCTCGTGCAGCTGCCATTTCTTACTTAAGCATCAGGAAGCACATGCCCCCGTGAGAGCTTCCCCCCTCCCCCCCCCCGGGATCCTCGGCCATGGGGTAAAAGTCGGCGCTTTCGGCGGGCTTCTTCGCATCTGCATTCGAGCCTCGCACACTGCTGACGACCCCCCAGCACTCTTATCGACAACATCGGAGCTAGGGAACATGTGTACACACATATGAGAACCTTTCTCACTCTCCCCCTCCCCTCTCCCCTCCTTCCTCTTTGTGTCTCTCCCTCCCTCCCCCTTCGTTTTTCTCCCTTCCCTTCCTCCGTCTTTCCGTATCCAATTTGGCTCAAGGTTTTGAGGTTCTCATTGGGCCACATGGATACCGCTGTTCCGTGGCTGTCTCCCGCAATTTTCCCAGCAGGTGGCCCACCCCACTTGCTGCTGCCTCCCGCGCCCACGGGTGAGCAGAAGTTTTCTGTGAGCTCTTGGACGAGCACTCTCGTTCATGGGTGGTGGCAGGGGCAAAAGCGGCCAATGTGGTGGCAACGTTATCCAGCAGTACATCACCTGCTCCCCGTGTCGCTTCCGCTTGAATTTTAACAACATTCACTGGTGTTACGTAGCGCCCAGGACCACTCGTCAGCAACCCAAGCGAGGACAAGAGGCCCATCGGAAGGTGGTCGCACGGCCCTCCTGCTCTCTGCGACGATCCTACCGTCGCAAAAGCTGCAGCTGCGCCCTGGCACGTTCCCAGGGGCGGCAAGCCCAACAGACCTCCGCTTCCTAAAGCGCCTTCCGCAGCGTCCAAAAGGCCCAGAGGGCTTCACGCGCAGGCCCTGGGTATGGTACAGCTCGGGATGGTACCCCTGGAGAGGATGATGGTTGCCGCCTACCTCTGACCCCGCGGGCCCCGTTGAAAAGGTCGATCCCCTGGAGGAACTCAGGAAGCAGCTGGGCGACTCAGAGGAGCTCAGTGCCATCGCGGGGAAGTTGCAGGCCAAGAGTTCGGCGGCGGCGCCAGGGCCGCATCGTGATCCACTGCTGGAGGAGGAAGTGTCGGCCACGGGCGTTTCCTTCTGCAGGGCCGCAGGCGTGGTTCGACACGCGCGCCAAGCGGGCCCCCGCTGGGGAGCAGTGGCTGGCGGGCGCCATGCCGGCGGAAAACAATGCCATAACGGCGGCGCGCGCTGCGCGGTTGGTTTGGGAGGAGGCCAGCGCCCAGCAGATCTCGTCACCTCCGCTCGAGGTCCCAGCGTCGGCGGCACCCGCTCCTTCTTCGCCCGTCAACTTGTCGACGCTCGTTGACGAGGGGCCGCTTTTGATCGTCGGTGTGCCTCTCTTTGAAATGGGCGGCCTCGAGCTGGAAACCTCCGACAAAATCGAGTGGGATTGCGTCGAGTTGGGGCTGGCTTCCAGCGCGCAGCGGGAGGTGCGGACGGCGTTGGGGCCAGCTGCCGAACAGACTCTCAAGCTGCGGGACGAGGTGAAGAAGGCGCGCGCCAGGTTGCAGCCCAAGCTTCGCCAAGGCGCATCGGGCGAAGCAGTCGAGGCAGCTGGGGGACAGCCGTCGGCAGTCCCCATCGGCAGGCCCCATGTGCCCCCAAGCTGCTGCTGAAGCTGTTCCTGGCTCCCGGCGGTCCGCCTAGTGGTGCCAGAGGGCTTCGAGCAGCCGCGCGCCGCGAAGCCAGAGGCGAAGATTCTGGCAACGTAGTGGTGGAGGATCCAAGTCTTTAGTCGTAGTCGTGGCCGAGCAGCCCGCGGGGAGGCGCCCCCTCAGCGAGACGGCGCAGTTGCTGTGCGACGGCCTCGTGCTCCCATTATGCGATGACCGTATTCCGTCCATTGAGGAGGAGTTGAATCTCGATCGAAGCCCGCTTGGGGCCTTTTGCTTTTTCCGCGTGGACCCGCTGGGGGAACGCCGCGATCGAGATCTTCTAGGGCCTGGCGTTCTGTCAGGCGGCGGCTCGGTCAGGAGGTGGCAGTTCGCATTGCAAGGCGATGTCGAGCCCTTCCCTCTCTTCGGCGAAGATTGCGATGGGCGCGGCCATCAAGCCCGCGGCGGCGCGGTGGCGTGGTTGCCCTTCTGCGGGCAGATTTGTCCGAGGCGATCCTGACTCAGGGAGGTCGGTCTGCGATCTTGATTGTGTTGTTCCGCTGGGGGAGCTGAATGCCAACCGCGGGAGGCGAGCTTCCAATGTATCGCCTCCCAACGACATAGGTCTCCCGCCGCGTGAGATCCCCCTGCGCAGCTGGGGGGTGGGGTGGGGTGGTTGGGGGGCCCTCGTGGGCGAGTTGCGGGGGTGGGTGGCCGCGTGGATGCGTGATCGTTTTTCGGTTCGGCCATTCGGATGCAGACGGAAGCTGCGGTGCTAGGCTCATTTTCGCCAGGTCCTGGGTGGCCCTCGCAGCTGCCCGCTGCTACGCAGGATTCAGGCTGCTCACTCTGGGCGATCCATCGATGAGGCCCTTGCGGATCCTTGTGGCGGCGCTTGGAGTCAGGCGCGAGAGCGACGGCGAGGCCTCGTCGAGTGGCTCGTGGACGCCGCCCCCGTGTTGCGCGGTGCCGCGGGGGGCCATGGCCGCCGCGAGCTCGCCCTGCTGCGCTGCTTTTTCCAGGCCATTCCCTGGCAGCGGCGCTTGGATTGCGGCGCTTCTAATCGAGGAGTTGGAGCCCCGCCGGCGGCGACCTCGGTTGCGAGGTCTCTTCAAAGACCGCGCCGTCGGGCATCTCTCTCCCAGCGAAGGCTTGGGCGGCGTCGCGGAAGGGGGCCGCGTTTGACCGGGGTTCTGCCCGCGGCGTCGAATCGGCTGGATGGGGGGGCAGAGGGCGCCGCAGGAAGGCTGCGTTCTGCGGTTCTTGCGATTTCTTCAGCATGTGCTGGCTCGGACGGTTGGGGGCATCTCGTTCGCAGACTTGCCTCCTCCCGTTCGTCTACTGGTGGAGTGGAGCTGCCCAGGCGCGTCCAAACTCGCGCTCGCGGCAATCTCGGCGGGGGTCGAGCTGGCCCGGCAGGGGCGGGCGAGAACGCGCCGCCCGCGGGGGCGAGCGCCAGCGGCGTGGGCACGCCGCGAATGCCGAGGGGCAGCCCCGCCCGTGGTTTCAGGCTGGCAGTTTTGACGGTGGAGGTCGCAGAGTTAGATCGCCGAGCCCTGGAGATGGCTCCCCAGGTCCGTCGTCGCTTGTTCCGTCGGGCGCAAGGGCGCGACGCCCGCGGGGCGGCCCCCCTGGTTCGCCGCTCCAGCGCGCCGCGCTGGATGAATTTCATTACCTGTCTGGACATCTGGAGTGAAGGGTGCCGCGTGAAAGTGGCTTAGCCAGAGCGCAATGCCGCGCGTCAGGGCCCCCGGCGGCGCGCCCTTCGAGCGTTGCGGGGTCGTCGTCGCCCCGAGTCAGAATTTGGAGACCAAGGGCGGTCCTTTCTCCTTCTTGCGCGGGGGCGCTTCTGGTCGCGCCCGTTCCGCGCGGCGCGTCTGGCGGAGATGCGCGCGCACCGTGGGCCCCATGTATCGCGCGGGTGTCGAGCAGGGCCTTGTCCGGGATGGTCTGGGCATATCGCGCGCATTTCGGGGGAGCGTAAGACCCGGGTTTGCCGGGACTCGGGTTCGCCATCGTTTTTTTGACGACCGCGATTCGGATTTTGACGAGGAGGAGTTTCGTGGGATGTCTGCAGCGGGAGGCCTCGTCAAAATGCAGGCTCGGCCTCGTCATTTTTTTGGCGACCTCGTCGGGGATTTCCGAGTCCCCCGTGCCCGGGTCTTACGTCTCCCCGAGCATTGGCGGCGCCTCCGCAGGCAGAGGGGGCTCATCTGGCGGCGAGCTCATCGCAGCCGCGAAGAACCTGGCGACGATTTTTGTTCAAAGGCATTCGTCAAGCAGCTCGCTGCGCCTGGAGAGCTGACCCATGTTGTGGTTTTGCACATGGTGTCCCATTTGTCAAGTGGCAGTTTGTTATTTAATCGCTTCGCTCATTCCGCCGGCCCATACAGTCTCATGTCTGCCGTTTGCCCGAGGGCCTGGTGTCAATGCTGCGCTTTGGGGGTTCCTGGGGCCGCTTGGGGGACTCCTGGGGCGCTCGGGGGGGCATTCGGGGGGCCTCCTGGGGCCGCTTGGGGGACTCTTGGGGGCCTCCTGAGGGCCTCGTGGGGGCCTCTTGGGGCCTCTTAGGGGCCTCTTGGGGCCTCGTAGGGGCCTCTTAGGGCCGAGGGCTCGAAATGTTGTTTCGTGTTCCCTTCTGGGGCCCCTTTGGGGGCGTTCTTGGGGCCCTCTTGGACCGTCTTGGAGGCTTCTTGGGCCGTCTTCGAGCCCTCTTGGGCCATCTTGGGGCCCTCTTGGGGGCCTCTTGGGCCCTCTTGGGGCGATCTTGGGGGCCTCTTGGGCCGTCTTGGGGCGTCGGGAAGCCGAAATGGTGGAAGCTCCAACATCTCTCAAAAACCTAAGGAAAAACAATGAATTTTGCCTCCAGGGGCCCTCTTGGGAGTGC